TCTTCATCTATGTGATTCCTAATCTTCTATTCGTTGTTATCTAGTTTGAAGTGGTTAAGACTAGGGTTCTGATGCATGGTCATTATCGGTGTCATTCCATAATTTTGTTGCTAAGGAATCCAGTTTTGATTGACAAAAGGGCGCGCCTTTGGAGGGTGTTCCAATACTCCGAAGGGTATAAATAGCGGGACCTTCCAATTTGAGTCGGATCCTTGCGATAAATTCAAGAACGACAACTGTAAAAAAAATCGAATACTTCATCATTTCTCAATAGTGATGGAGTAATACGACATGCACTAAACTAAGGACACAGGATAGACTATAACAGATCAAATTACTGGCCGCAGTAGTGTTAGGTGCCGAACAGAGGAAAAAAAAAAGGTAATGCAAAGTCTAGAAACTAACAAAATACTTACTAACTATAGCTGCTGGTAGCTATTCGCCATGAAAACAGTTCCATCTTTGTACATTTTTAGCATCTGATTTATATATTTTGAGCATTAAAACTTTCACTGGCAGCGCAACGATCCCCCTTTCATACCTGCGTGATTTTTAACTTTGGCAAAAAATTATAATTATTTACCCAGAATCTGGGTAGATTCTACTCATCAGACCAAAACTAATTTACCCAGATTATGACAACTCCTTACTGGATACAAAAATGGGTGCCATCTACCCAGTCACTGGGTAGATTCAGAATAGCGTGTACTAGTCACCTTTTGCGTCACTACACTCAAAAAATATTGAAAGCTAAATAGTATAAAATCTACGCTAAATCGCCACTCTCCGTGCCGACGCAAAAGGTCGGTATAAAGGGAGGAGAATGCAAACTTAGTATAAAAATGATTTATGCCTGCCATAGTATGAAATCGAAATATTCTTGCAATGCAAACATACGGTTTATTCGAGGAAATTTATTTTCTGCTTCTTTTTCGATTCATGATTAATATTATTGTTTTCAAATCAAAATTCAAAGTTGTCTTAGGCAGGTTTCTTAATTATTTTCATTTTATAAATATTTATTATCATGATAAGCACGTTCGGTTTTGAAATGCTGACCGGATGATTCGTCGGACAGTGTTCTGATAACCAGTTTTTGGGATATCGATCGCTGGGCGGCAACGTCTCGAGCGAAGGCAAAACGCACCTACAGAAGCGATATTTCATATCTGGAGATGCGAAGTGAAGCAGGATATTTTACACTATAATTTATTTTACGATTCCTCCCGAAAACTTATTTCAACTTTCTTGGGAAGCTTCTTCAGCATCGCTCGAATGGTTCTTCCGTCTTCTAACACCAGTTATTTCAACTTCCCATGAACTTCAGGGATGTTTCCAGATTTTTATTACGGATTCACACTAGCTGCAGGAACTTTAAAGAAGTTCTGAAACTTCAGAAAAGTCTAGACTTTTGAGTAAATTCCGATAAATTAAAGATAGTTTCATTAACGTATGTTCAAATTCCAAAACCCGAAAATTTCAGGAACGTACAGTGAACTCCAGTAAACTTACGAAACCATCAGATATATTTTGGAAACTTCACAAGTTCAAAGAACTTCAGGGAAATTGAATGGTTTCAGGAAAGTTTCATTTGTTTCAGAGAATTGAGAGAACTTTAGGGATGCTCCTTGAACATCAGGACAGATCAATTGACTTCAAGGGAATGCTGATATTTGAAAGAATTTCCGAGAAACTCAGGCAATGTTCCACAAATTTAGGAAACGTAAGGGAAGTTAATGAACATTAGAACATTGTGAGAATATTTTATGGGAAATCCCATGCTTTTTACTGGCAGTGCCAAGAACTAAAATTTCAAAACTTGGGAAGATCAGAGATCTTTAATGCTAATGATAAAATAAATTCGAGAAAATTGTGAGAGCTCTTAAGAAATTTCGTAGTCTTCAAGAAAGTCCAGATACCTTCAGAGAGCCTCATTATAATCAGGAATCTTCCGAGTACTTGGAGGATGATCAGAGAACTCTAAAACAGCCCCATTAGCTTCGAGAAAATTACAAGACCTTTTAAGGAATTCCGTGGAATTATGGAATATTCCTAAGTGCATTCCAAGAATGTTCTGAAAACTTCAGGGGCATTGCGGGGTCTTCAGGGATGTTTTATGAATATCAGGAAAATTTGCTGGATCATTAGAATATCCCCCAGAAATCTCTATCTTCCTGAATTATGTCCTTGTTTCTTTCGACTGTTCCGTAGCCGCTCTGGCTCCCAAATTTCTCCAGAATATTCTTGCAATCTATCAGCTTCTCCAGGAAGTTTCTTCTGTCTTCTTCTGTGTGTCCATAAGTCATAGGTTTTCGACTTTTATTGGAAGGTTTCTCCAAACTTCTTCTGGCATCCTCTAGAACTGGCTACTTCTGGAATTTACTTCCATTTTCCGAAACTTTTCTGGCTTCCTTTGGATGTGACATCCGATTTTTTTTTCCGATGGTTGATTTGAATATTCACTAGCAGTTTCTCAATTCTTGTCTTGGTAGTTTCCGGATGTTTCTCCAACTTTTCTTAGAATTTTCCTCAAATTTCGTCCAGAAGAGCTTCTTTCTTTTTTCTCTGGATGTTCTTTCAGAAGCAAATTCAAACATTCCCCGGAGTTTTCTTTCATAATTTTCCTATCATAGTCCAAAAGTTAAAATTTTCACTTCCACAAATAGCTAAAATATAAAATAAATTAAAATAGTAAATACCGATAAATTACGATATTATAAAACCTTTGATACCGATAAACTTTAAAACAATCTGGCAACGCTGAAAAGAAGAGTAAACCATATTGTTAATTTATAATATTTGCTTACACCCTTCACCACCCCTCATCGTCGGATAAGTTTGTTAAAGGGGATGCTATACTCGATTCGTAACTTCCACAAAATTCTCCTTTGCTCGCTTTCTACTTTCTACATATAATTTTCACACTGCCTTACTATAATGGAACTATCAACTCTATACTTTCATCTCCTCATCTATCGTATTAAATGTCCGATTTAAGTCTGATATTTGAGGTAAAGCATCTCCGACTATGTATATCGTGAACTTCACGCATGAAGTAATAAAAACATGGTTGGAAATGATCCACGGTGCATACAAATTTTAAAAATTATTTATGGACAACTGTCTATACGTAGGGGGAAACAAGAATTTAAAAAAAGTGTCTAAGTAATTAATGAATAGCCCCTTACATTATTGAATGATTTTAGCCACGGCTTACCAAATTCGTTTTTAAAATATATATAATAAAATATTAATATATTAAAATCCATTGATATATGTCAAACACATTTATGTTGGATGCACCGACTCCGACTCTCCAACTCCTCAGTTCGCTAAATTCCTTCTGACTCTGACTTTAACTCCACAGCCCTGCTATAGGGACAGGATCATGTAAAATTAATAAGTAGTAATTAGTAATTATTTAGTAAAATTATGGCACGTGGACTCCATTTCCACGGCTTCCATTGTTCCTACTCAGTCATCAGTGTTCTCTGGACAAATAAATCACATGACAAATAGCCAGCACATTTCTCATGTCCCTGGTTAACGCCTTAAAAATTCTTCAACAATTGTTCACCACATGCCTACCTATCACAGCATCACCAAAGCAACAGTCAGAAGCCATCAGGCATAACTAGAAAGCATAATAAATTTATAATATGTAGTGATGATGATAGACAAGTTCACGTCTCCTCGGTAGCAGACCGGAATATCTCCTGGCCACTGCACCACGGCATTCCATATTGCATCATATTCATTACACAACTACCTGTCAATAACGGATGCTGTTTTTCCTTTTTCCCATTTCTCACACTCAACTCCCTGCAGCATATTAAAGTGAACCTAGGTCACTGCTACTGAAATTCTCCGTATATTGGCTAAATAAAACTGCTAGAATCAATGCCATAGAACATGTGCCACGACGGCGATAGTGGTGTCGTGTCTCGCTTGGCCTGAGGGATGTACTGCAGTTTAGTTTGAATGCTTACTAACAGCAGTGATATTGGTTGGCAATGGCATTCGATGCAAACGAGAAGTGAGATGGCCTGTCACACAATCGCTGCATCAGGTGCTGTAGGTAGATACCACCTACCTCGTTGAATCGGGACTAGGACTCACGCGAACGCTAAGGATGCATGTCCCTATGCTGTGTAGGTGCGGTGTACAGAAAATCTGCGAAGGAAAACGTCACTCCGGTAGGTACATGACAATGCGATAAAATGGATGGAAAATGGAAAGATTGACGTGTGAGCTGCGAGCTCGCTCGAGTGCACTGCTGACAATGCACGGTTTTCGAGCAAGGTTGGTGTGGGTGACACTGAAAAACGGTCCCTGCATCGAAATGGATGTCAATGATGAAATAACCGATGATGGTATAACTTCGTTGTGTTAGAGAATTTGTATCGTACTGAAATATGATCAATAAATGGAAATGTTCAAAATTAATAAATTCAATTCCACTCATTCACACGCTGTTCGGATCACGAACGCAAACTGAATTCTTAAAGCAGCCTTTTTTGTTGTGCAGCTTAAAACTGTAATATAAATTTTATTTAGCTTGATCATTTTTACAATTACTTTATCAACTTACATGAACAGTATTATCTTACACTTTCTCCGCTGTCTAACTACCGCGATTAGAAGCAAATTATTACGGCTAAACAGTAGAAGAAAGCAAGAGATTTTATTAGAATTCTTTCCTTTTCAGGTTATACTGTCTCGGGATCAACTTCACTACCAAGAATGATTTAATTTATAAATAATTTACTCTAATTCATTTTAACTACTACAACTTACATCTCAGATAATTACAGATACAGATTGCAAATACAGAAACCTCTCTTCTAAGTAATTTCACAATTTTTACTATATAAATTAAATAATGCTCTCTTCTTACACAATTCGCCAACCACATTACCGCAATAGTTTTTGTTTTGTTTTGTTTTGATGTCCTACCCGCATCCTACCTATTGACAGGTCAGAGAGCACAGTCATTTCGATCAGGTAGTACGATTTTCTACCGGTACATGTGTTGGTGAGGACTTGGCAGTGTGCCCAGTGGGCGGTGCCTCAACAGCCCCTCCCCGTAACTCTTGCGCAGACTGTAAGAAGCTAGAGTTCACGTCTCTTAGCTCTGGCACCGCCAGCTTTGCCACAGGGCGTCGATACACACCCTTACATGTGCGCACAATGGCCTGTCTAATGCGCCCATCCGAACTCCTTATCAGCTCCTGTACCATTCCACGCACCCAGGACTTACGGTTGTTGCCATCTGCCAAGTACACGACTTCACCTTGCATGAGTGGCTCAGAATCGGCATGCCACTTTGAACGCAAATTGATCGATGGTAAATACTCCTCCAACCAGCGCTTCCAAAGCTTGTCCGCCAACCTCTGCGAACGCTTATAAGTATCACGCAAAGCTTCAGCTTCTCCAGTTGTCGGCTTCCAAGTGTCACCACCGGTAGATGGCAACCCACGTATGAAATGGTTCGGCGTTAATGCTTCAACCTCTGCTGATTCCTGCGGAACGTATGTCAGCGGCCTCGTGTTTATCAAATCCTCAGCTTCAGCTAGAGTGGTCAGCAGGATCTCGTCTGTCAACTTCCGACCGTCATCGAAAACCTTCATCGCTTCCTTCACGGAACGGACGAGTCTTTCCCAGACCCCACCCATATGCGGAGCAGAAGGAGGATTGAAACTCCATCTGGTCCTCGCGTCAGTAAAAGTATCACAACATTCTGTATTTATACTTCTGGTTACCTCTTTGCTCGCACCGACGAAGTTTGTACCATTGTCGGAAAAGAATTCAATCGGCATTCCACGTCTGCAAGCGAATCGACGGATGGCCATTACGCAACTCTGTGTTGACAAGCTGTGTGTCACTTCTAAGTGGACGGCTCTAGTTGTTAAACAGGTGAACAGAGACACCCAACGTTTCTCTGTGCGACGGCCAACTGTGACTGTGATCGGACCGAAGTAGTCCACCCCCGAGAAACTAAACGGACGCAAATTTGGAGTAAGCCGTTGAACCGGAAGCGGTGCCATTCGTGGAATTCTTGGCCGACATTTGTGCACCTTACACCACATGCATTCTCGCATCACCTTCTTCAGCTGCGCTCTCATATACGGGATGTAGAATCTCTGCCGCAACTCGTTCGTAATAGTTTCTCGGTTTGCATGGCCGAATCTCTGATGATAGTATTCCAATAACCTGATGGTGATCGGATGTCCTCTTGGAAGAATGATGGGAAATCGTAACTCGAACGGGAGGAAGTCCGCTTCCTTTGTTCGGCCTTCATGCCGGAGTATTCCAAACTCGTCGACGACTGGAGACAGTTTGTACAGGTCACTATCCTTGTCAGCCTTGGGCAGGATCGTACCGGCGGGTTTCTGTCGGAGAATCCGGATTTCCGCTGCGAACCGCTCCGCTTGTGCCATTTTCCATAGAAGACGTTCAGCTTCTTGAAACTCCTTGTGAGTCAGGGGCTGTTCCTTCGCCGGAACCATCCGTCGCACTAATCCACGCATCTGAGATGCAGTCGGTAGGGTTTCGATCTGCTTTCCCTGTTGCTTTTTACGAATATTCCCTACGAACCGTAGCACACACGCCAACGTTCGCACCAGCACATTCCATTTGGAGACTCTACTCACATCTATCAAGCGCTCCGGCAAATCCAGATCGTGAAACAGAAACGTAGCCCGCAGTTCTTCTTTTGTGTTCGGCTTTACTACCGGCTGAGCCGGCCATTCTTCCTCCGACTGGTACAAGAACCCCGGACCATTGAACCAACGACTGTCTGAACCAAGCTGCGGCCCATTGTTCCACTTCGTCACTTCGTCCGCCACGTTGAGCCTCGTTGGTACCCAATGCCAATCAGACGCCATGGTTCTGTTTAGGATGTCACCGACTCTGAGGGCAGTGAAAATCCTATATTTCCACAGATCGGACACGATCCAGGAATGTACCGTACGCGAATCAGTCCACAGGAACACCTTCTTTATTTCCAGATTATGACTCTCCTTGATTGTGCTCACCATCCTCGCACCGAGTACGGCAGCCATCAGCTCCAACCGTGGTATAGTGTTCGGCTTGAGTGGCGCCACCTTTGACTTGGCTTGAACCAATGAACACCTCGGAACACCTCCGGCCAAGATTCGAAAATACGCAACGCAACCATATGCGCACTCACTCGCATCCGTAAAAATATGTAGTTGCAGTGAATCGTACTCCAGTGCCACGCCATCGCCAAAATGGTAACGAGGAATTTTTACCGCTTCGACAGCAGACAAATAACTGGTCCACGTTATCCACTTCTGCACCGAGTCATCGTCAATTGGATCATCCCACTCACAACCAGTCCTCCATAGATTTTGGATTAGTACTCGTCCATATATCGTAAACGGTGCCAGAAGACCCAGCGGATCAAACAGACTCATTACGCAGCTCAAGACAACCCGCTTAGTAGGACGCTTACCTTCGAATAAGTACGGCAGCAGATCATCTCTCATTTTGGTAGAAAATGCGAACACATCTTCAGATGGACTCCAGATGATGCCAAGAACACGTTCGGTGTCGGTCGCCTTGTCCCGATTGAAGTGCACAGCTTGGCTTACCTGCGTTTCACCCAGTTGTTGCAAAACGGCCACGGAGTTCGATACCCAATTCCTTATTTCGAAGCCGGCCTTGGAATGGACGTATCGGACGTCGCTTGCGCGCTGAACTGCCTCCTCGATGATTTGCGCACTATCGAAGTAGTCGTCTACGTAGTGTTTTTTTACAATCGCTGTCGCCGCCTCTGGGAACTCGGACTCCCACTCTTTAGCGTTCCTGTCCTTCACGTACATCGCTTGACTTGGAGAACAGGTCGCTCCGAAGATCGCACAATCCATCACGTACACTTGTCCACAGAAAATAAATCGTAACGCCTGCCTGTCTTCTGGCCGAATCTTCAACTGGTGAAACATTTCTCGGATGTCACCACCAAAACCGACGAGATATTCCCGAAACTGACAAATCACCGATGGGAGAGAGGTGAGATAATCGGGTCCCTTGAGCAGCTGCGAATTTAGCGACACTCCCTGTACAGTGGCTGCGGCGTCCCATACCAGACGTACTTTCCCCGGTTTTTTGGGGTTCAACACGACATTCAACGGCAAGTACCACACTTTCTTTGGATCGGCGGTGCCTAACTCCTCCTTCGTAGCTTTGTGGCAGTATCCTTTTCGTTGATACTCCACGAGCTGTGTTCGGACATTCTCCATCAGCTCCGGATTTTTGGACAAGCGTTTCTCCAGCAACTTCATGCGTCGTTGCGCCATTGGGTAGCTGTTTGGAAACTGCGGATCGTCTTCTTTCCATAGCAAACCCGTTTGAAAGCGCTCACCTGATTCACCTATCCTCACCGTTGTGCTTTCCATGATCTGCCGTGCACGCTGATCTTCACTCGACTCCGGAAGTAGATCTACCGAAACTCCTGCGTCTTCCAAAGCGTAATGAGACCGCAGAATGTCATGAAGTTCCTGATTTGATACGCCGGCACAAGAATGATGTCCAACGTACGGAGTGGAAATGTCTTGTTGCTCTTGTGGACCATACACTGTCCATCCAAGCTTCGACCTCACGGCAATCGGCTCTTCCGGCTTTCCGACCCGTGATTCTAACGGGGCGAATAAATGTATATGCTTGAGACCGATGAGAATCTTCGGTGGTTCCATCGTGTAATCCACCACCGGAAGGTTTTGCAGATGTGGATACTGACTGGCCACGTCAGCGTATCGTAGAGCCTGTCGTGGAAGGTTCAGCGATTGAACTGTGTGTACATTCTGAATCTGGAACCTCTCCTTCGATCCTCGAGCCGACAACGTCAATTGCAATCGCTGTGAGTCCCTTTCCAGCCGCGTCATACCTGCTGTCCAAGTGACACGTAGTGGTTGTGTTTGGCCCTTGACTTTAAGCTGGTTCGTCAGCGAGCTTTCGACCAATGTATAGGATGATCCTTCGTCCAGGAACGCCAGAATGTTGATAGCACGATGTCCGTGGTACAATGTCACCGCCACCATGCGGAAAATAACCGGTTGACACAATCCTATCTGGCTGTGAGTGTTGCAGTCCGATCGTAGAACTACACGAGGTTGGTGTAGCAACGTATTGTGTCGTTGTCCGCAATTCTCCACCTTACACACGATGTTCAACTTGCATGTCGACTTGCCGTGATCGTTCAGACATATTCGGCACAGTTCCCAATCATCTACGGCCTCCAAGCGTTCGACTACACTCAGCTTTCGAAACTCGGCACAGTTCCGAACCCTATGATCGGTTCTGGCACACATCGGACATGGCGTTCTTGATTCTCGACGTGGTTCGACTGGTTGCTTTATACCACCCGTTTTCGTTTCGGCACCATGTGTGTGGACGAATCCCTCGTACTCCTTACTTCGGTTGTTCTTCCCCTTCTTATTCGTGCGGTTGTCTTGTGGCGGCGGTACGTCGTTGAACACAGTTGCTTCACTAGCATCTCGTACTATCTCCGCCAAGAAGTTAGATAAAGTTCGCAGACTTACACATTTAGCCTGCCTTTTGTGCCGCACCCATTCCATTTTTGTACCAGCCGGCAGCTTTTCCACGAGCTCCTGAATCAACATCGGGTTGATTAGATGATCTCTCAGATTAGTCGCTTCCAGATGGTCGACAAGTTGCTGTACGACCATACCAAATCCTATGAACGAGGCCAGACGGTCGGCTTTTGGCGATTCAGCTTTGCGCACTTTTGCCAACAACGTATTCAGGAGCTGTTCCGGTCGACCATACAACATCCGGAGAGACTCGATTACTTGAGGCACTGCATTCGGTAGAAACAGCCGGCTTCGAACGGCCTCCAATGCTGGTCCCTTTAGACTCTCTTGCAAGCGTGCTAGATTTTCGATGTTGGAGAAACCACATGCTTCATTTGCCGTTTCAAAACTCGAGATGAACATCGGCCAGTCTTCCGGTCGTCCTGTAAACACCGGTAACTTTCTTGCGATGAATTGTCTAGCAGACAGTTGTGCCTTAGTTGGAAATCTTTGAATTTGTGAATTCGTAGGCTCACCGAGCTCTTCATCTTCCGATTCCACGTTTGATTCTACTTTCGACTCCGCTTCCGATTCCGAATTCGCTTCCGATTCTGCATCCGTATCCGCTTCCGATTCCGCATAGCCTTCCACTACTTTTGACGGGGTAGGGTCGTTAACTGTGTCAACAAACGTTGGGTTTTTCCCGACATTCTTCGGCGTCGAATGTTTGCTGTACGCACCACGGTAGTCCGATTGACCTTTCGCCAATCCTTTGTCCCCTCCCGTGGCCACTTTATGCACCGAACTCTTCTTAGGGGCACAAATCGCCTTCACCCTATCAGCATCCTGTCGAGTCTGTCGCATTTTCTGCAGTTTCCCATCCAGCTGGTTACGCATTTCTTGCTGCTCCTTACGGTAGGCTTCTTCTGCAGCAATCGCTTTCTCCAAATGTGCCCGTTCTATCTCGAGTTCCATCTGTCGCTTCTCCCGTTCCATTTCTTGACGTTGTTCAGCCAATTCTTGTTGGGCTTCCAGCCGCCTACGATGAACGAGCTTTTCCAACTCCATCTTCCGCCTCTGCAATTTTCGGGTTTCTTCTAACTGCAACAGCTCCCGTTCAAGTTCCTCCACTGATGAGTAAAGTGCCTCATTGGGGTCAGCAGCTGGCATACATCCGCCACCGTCTTCTGCGTTTTCCCCCTCTTCCGTATTCTGGTCGGAAATTTCCACAGCTTTTTCTTCATTTTCTGCATCATTTCCAACGGCACACTTGTCCTTGCAATCAGAGCAGCTCCAGGAAACATTTTTCACTTCGGCGGAAACTCCCACGCACTTGAAGTGGAACCATTGGGAGCAATTATCACAACCCACCATACCGGTATCAGCATCATCCGGAGCATTGCATCTCGCACAGCTGAAGCCGGTAATGTTCACATCGCGGATGTTCATTTTTAAGAATGTTCGGATCACGAACGCAAACTGAATTCTTAAAGCAGCCTTTTTTGTTGTGCAGCTTAAAACTGTAATATAAATTTTATTTAGCTTGATCATTTTTACAATTACTTTATCAACTTACATGAACAGTATTATCTTACACTTTCTCCGCTGTCTAACTACCGCGATTAGAAGCAAATTATTACGGCTAAACAGTAGAAGAAAGCAAGAGATTTTATTAGAATTCTTTCCTTTTCAGGTTATACTGTCTCGGGATCAACTTCACTACCAAGAATGATTTAATTTATAAATAATTTACTCTAATTCATTTTAACTACTACAACTTACATCTCAGATAATTACAGATACAGATTGCAAATACAGAAACCTCTCTTCTAAGTAATTTCACAATTTTTACTATATAAATTAAATAATGCTCTCTTCTTACACAATTCGCCAACCACATTACCGCAATAGTTTTTGTTTTGTTTTGTTTTGATGTCCTACCCGCATCCTACCTATTGACAGGTCAGAGAGCACAGTCATTTCGATCAGGTAGTACGATTTTCTACCGGTACATGTGTTGGTGAGGACTTGGCAGTGTGCCCAGTGGGCGGTGCCTCAACACACGCAAATCAACTTGAAATTAGCATTTCTTTTACAGTTTTTGCATACTGATCGCTTCCCTATAAATCAACGAGGAGTAGTAGTAAACCACCAGTGACCAGCAAACACAAGCAAATCCCTGGAAATCAGTGATCGAGCAGGTTTTCACCCATGTTTCTGCACTCATTATCACGTTGATTGCCGGCCGTCGGCGTCGCCACAAAAACGTCATTTCACTTTGTGTGGCTTAGGTGCCTATTAGCTTTTCCAATTTCAAAGTGCATCCGTGCAATGAGCGGCATGGCAGCGTTTTGAAAGCCAGTTTTGGAATGCGTTCCGTGAGACGACGATGATGAAGACGACGTCCACGCGACCAACTTGGAGGAAATGTGCTGCGTCAGTTTTTGTTCATCTGAGAAGGTGATTTAATGTTTTACATCCCACAGCTGGAACGTACCGTCTGCTCTAAACTTGGTTTTCTTCGAGAGGTTCCACATTGTTAAGTGAGAGCATTTAGCCGAGAATCGAACCCGGCGTCTCCGGTATGGCACGGCGCATCTTTACTCTCTGAGCTATCGGGAGACCCCTTAGTGTATGGGTATGTAGGGTAATTTGAATCGGCAAACCACACTTATTATCATTTCAAGCGAATGCGCGAGCCGATGCTGGAAAGCATAACATCAACACCCTCAGGGGAGATGAGCACAACCATACTTATATTTATTACCGGTTTGATGTTGAAAAAGGGCGATGGAAGGCGTGATAGGCTTTGTGTACTTATTAGTTTTGCTTTTATTGCCTACGTATGGAATTATTTTCGGTGTAATCAGAGCTTGACACACGTTTCCTAAGTTTAATTTTGTATTGTTGGTTTCTGCAATGTATGGGTTTATGTTTGCAGGTCAGTTTTAACCCTTTCAATCCCAATGTTTTCTAAAGCATATTTTAGCCCCGTAACGTGGGTAGATCACCTTTTCGTGGTACGTTACGGGATGTAAGATCTACTACCGATTCCTAGTCCCGACTACTTCAAACTAGGGGAATAGGATTTTTCAGTAATCAAAGGAACACATCTTAGTCCTTGTTACTTGTTATGCCTTGTTGATAGTGACAAGACACGGCTTTGTCCACCGAGGATGATCTTGAAACAAGGAAAAAATGAGTTAGTTAGTCTTCATCTATGTGATTCCTAATCTTCTATTCGTTGTTCTCTAGTTTGAAGTGGTTAAGACCAGGGTTCTGATGCATGGTCATTATCGGTGTCATTCCTTAATTTTGTTGCTAAGGAATCCAATTTTGACTGACAAAAGGGCACGCCTTTGGAGGGTGTTTCAACACTCCGAAGGGTATAAATAGCGGAACCTTTCAATTAGAGTCGGATCCTTGCGATAAATGCAAGAATGACAACTGTAAAAAAAAATCGAATACTTCATCATTTCTCAATAGTGATGAAGTAATACGACACTCACTAAACTAAGGACATGGGATATACTACAATAGATCAAATTACTGGTCGCAGTGGTGTTAGGTCCCGAACAGAGGCAAAAAAAGCGCATATTTTTAGAAAATACTAACTCAATTTAATAGAATACGGCTATTTAAGAACAAATACCTAAGAATAATCTGGAAGACATTTTCTTGGGACTCATACAAGGCCCTTAGTAACGAATCATCTCCAAATAAGTTCATATATACTATGTACATCATTTATGCTTTAATTCCATGTGTAAAAGATGTTCCAGGTTCTCCGAATTTTCCAGGAGTTCAGGAATCGAAACGACACCACATTTATTAATTGTCAATTTAACACGCTTGGGTCATTCGTGACTAGTCCGGGATGAGATTTGAACTCGTGACTCTGACATGAGAGGTCGCCCCAAATCTAGGATAACCTGTAGAGCTTTGAGCATCTCATGTACATCAACATAGATTATAAGCGATGCACAAAAACTTTATGAACTTGTTTGAACATGTGTCGTCACTGAGGCCTTGAGTGATCCAGTAGATCAACTCGGAGGACCTAGAACACCTTATGTACATGGAATTGAAACGTAAATGGTGTTCATAATCTCTATCAACCTGTTTGGAGTTGTTTCGTAACTAAGGGCAATGGATCATTTGATCGGAACTCCAGGATAATTTGGTGATCTTGGAGCATGTTATATTCCTCAAAATAGATTACATGTATATATGATGATAAAGGGTGTCCACGATGAAATTGCCACACTATGAAATTGCTCTAACTTTTTAACCGTTGGGTAGAATTTAATGAAAATTTGGGTGGATTTAGTTCATAGTGCATTATTTACATCCTGCAAGTTTAAAAGTCCTGTGATCAAAACTCGCGGAAATGGAGTCGAAAGAACAGCTCGTGCGTGATAAAATCTTGCGCATTCATCACGAGAACAAGGATCTCTCGCATCGTTCCATCGCTAAAACGTTGGAAATCGCGAACTCCACGGTGTCGCGAGTGATTAAGTGGTTCTAGGAACGGTTGACCACCGATCGGAAGCCCAGAAGTGAAGGAAAAAGTATTCCGTACAACACCAAAAATCACAACCGCGTAGTTGGGGCCTTCAACCGAAATCCGAACGCCTCCGTTAGGGATGTGGCTAAGAAGCTGCACCTAAGCCGAAGTTTTGTCCTGAAGGCCAAAACTAAGGCTGGGCTTCGAACGTTCAAGGTACAAAAGGCCCCTAATCGCGACGAGAAGCAGAACAAGTCCGCCAAAACCCGTGCCAGGAAGTTGTACCTCAACATGCTGACGAAAGTTGAATGCTGCATCATGGACGACGAAACATATGTGAAGGCCGACTTCAAACAGATCCCCGGCAACCTGTTTTTCACGGCCAAGGATAAGTTCAGCGTTCCGGAGCATGTCCGCACTCAGAAGATGTCCAAATTTGCGAAGAAATTCCAGGTTTGGCAAGCCATCTGCACGTGCGGGAAGCGGAGTGCACCTTTCGTGACCCAGGACACGATGAACGGACAGGTGTACATAAAAGAGTGCCTCCAGAAGCGGCTGCTTCCTCTCCTGAAGGCCCACAACGTCCCAACAATCTTCTGGCCGGATTTGGCCTCATGCCACTACTCCAAGGACGAGCTGAAGTGGTATGCGGACAATAAGGTCAATTTCGTGCCGAAAATGTTCAACCCTCCCAACACTCCGGAGCTCCGCCCCATCGAGAAGTACTGGGCGATTATGAAGCAGCACCTTCTTAAACGACCTAAGGTAGTGAAGACAGTCGAGGAACTGAAGAAAGTATGGGTTTACATGCAAAAAACGGTTGATTCACAGGTAAAATACGAGTAAAATGGTAAAATGAAGTTTAATAGTTATTTCTCAATCCCTGAAAATTTGATGGCAATCGGATGAAAACTCGAATTTTGCGAATCAATTTTGTGTGTGGCAATTTCATCGTGGACACCCTTTATATGTCTACCACTCATTGTAGCACTAAAAATTGAGTACGATAGCAGTGGGCGCTCCTCACTGTTTGATTTGATTAAGCTTAATAACTTCTGATTGTCAACATATCACTGTATAAAGAGCCAAAAACAGGCTTGGTGGATCGAAATGTAAATTCACCTATACGCCTCCACGGGATGGTAGAGAATCTCCTTCTAGCCACATGATCATACAATTTGTCAAAAAACGATCCCTCCGACAGAAGGATACCCCAATGAGTGTGGAGAAGAGCCCGCCCTTTTTCCACGAGATGTTAACAACAGGGCGTTGACAATTTCACTCTCCCTATCCAAATCGCTTCAATCGGGTGCCCTGATGGTCTCTCCTAATCCCAGCATTGTTTTGTATGTATGAACAATAATAAAAAACGATCCCACCAACTGTCGCTGTTTCTTCACATTTCTATTCAATTGCCATGCCTATTTGTGAAGTCGTTGTCCTTCTCTGCATCACAGCTAGTCACTACTAGTCTCCCGAATGTTATTTCAGATGTGTTCTACGATATTTCGACGTCCTTTATCTTTGTATGATGATCTTAAGTTCCTAGTTGCGTCTTATAAAAACGTAACACCAATGCGGAAAATGGACAGTGTCTCCGGGTATTTTCATAACGAGCATCACTCCAATGTCGTATCGCATGTGCTCCATTTTGCAGCTCTTCTTTAACTTTTGCTTGACTCCATGATACCGGAAAAGATATAGATGTATACATTATTAGCAATGATGTGATATAACCACAACGGGTTGACCATTCAGAATGTTTCAACGGATGTGAAATAAAGGAACATTTATGTTTAACACGATTTAAAGTATTTCAACGCAAAATTTCATTTGTTCACTAACAATTTACACATTTTCAATATGTAATCCTAACTAATTTCTGGAAGAATTTAGTTGTGTTTTATACAATTAGTATCAATGTTTCGTCATATCGTATCTT